GTCTCTCAGTGAGAGCTATCATTTGATATGAATAAGACCAATCAACTTGCTCAACAATACAAACCCTTCCATTGTTAGTTTTTATTTAGAGATCTCATTTTTGTGAACCTCGGAAAGACAACAAACAAAAACAAAAAAGAAACGTAGCGAGAGAAAAGTAAATAAATGAAGCAAACACTGCAAGATATTCAATAAAAGTAGTATACAGACTCTAGAGTACCTTGATCTTTAGAGGAGATCAGAGAAAAGTATAAAAAAGTAATTCTGCGAGTACCTGTGATATCTATATCAAGAGTTGAGAAATAAGAAGTTTCTTTTCTTTTTCGTCTCACGCTAGATTTTTAAATTTTACAAAGAGCGATGGCCATTTGAGATCTGAAACAGTGATGTTCAGTAAAATATTTACATAAAAAACCATTTCATTCTTGACATACAAAAGATAGTGTTCTTAAATATATTCCTAGATTAATAATTTGCACACTAATCACATTAATAGATAAAAACTAATTGAGGTTGAATGTTTCAACCGTAGCTTTTTGGCATAAATTTCAGATAGATATTTTTTTTATATTCCCTTTTTCGCTAAAAAATTACGAAAAATTGATTATATCTCCAAATTAAATCACAACTCTAAAAATTGCCCATATGATAAAGTATTGTGTTTGGAAAAATAATTATGGATAATTTATAGAAAATTAAAGAAACTCTACTCCATAAATTTTAAATGTTTTTATTAGAAAAATCGTTTTAAATCACGATATATCATTTGTTCAATTTTTTAATTTTCGCGACAACAAAGAAATGATATCATTTATTATCTTTGTCATTTGGATATAAATAAGTCTAACTTTATTCAATTCGTGATAAATTTTGACAGATGACTTTTCGTACAGCGTCATATATATATATATTTGATCTGTTATATCTAATTACGCATGGCATGATTTCAATCGTATCACACTGAAATCAGTATGATCAAACAATTTACGCACTTTTTTCCTCGAATGATAATATACAGTAAAACCTCTATTTGTGAACACCCCTCCTTAATGAACACCTTACTATTATGGACGCTTTTTGCCGGTACCAAAAATCGATTTTTGCTGGAAACAGACCTCTTCTTTATGAACAACTCCTTATTATGAACGTTTTTAAATAGTCCCGAAGGTGTTCAGATTAGAGAGGTTTTACTGTATATACAAGTGTATCCATGCAATCACTGTTATTTAACGCCTTCTTTCTAATTTAAAGAGGCTGTATGCTTCCTTTTAATGCAATGGTGAAAAAGTGTATGTACGCACTCTAAAAAGTACCATCCGTCTTAGACGAAGATGCGTGCGTCTAAAATCTATGTTAGACATTAGTTAGACACCAGAAATGTCTCTTTTTGAGACGCTTGATTGTGATAGATACTAATGCGTCTTATATATTAGACAGTTGAATGAATAGACAATGCAGCATCTTGTTCTTTGTTTCTTTGTAGCTATTGTGCAGAATTTTCACTTCTTTCTCATTTGTGACGACTTATACAAGTGAATTTTATCAAATTTTCTGGAACTAATTAAAGTGTTTTTCAGCATTATCAGGATTCTTTTTGTTTTTGTTCTTTTTAGCTAAAATAATTTTTTCAGATATTTGTTCTCGATACAAAAACTATTTTTTTAAAATTAATTATTTCGATTAAAATCACTCTGTATGATTTTTCTCTTTTTCTTCTAGACAACTTTTATGTTGAATATCTGTTTTAGAGTTTTGAAATTTCTTTTTTCATTTGGAAATTTATGAAAAAATTTAATGTCACCAGAATTTTATATTTAATATTTGCCAAGACGTTATAATTGATTTACGAGCTACTTATTCTGAAAATAGATGTGCTTCGATATGATCAGTACGTATTAATGAAATATTTTTTCGTCAAATAATTTTTAATTTTTCTTTTCATCAAACTAGGTTTTTTTTATTAGATTTAACTTTAATTTTTTTTTAAATTTGAACTTCAATTTTCTGCGAAAATTTAAAAGAATTATCTTATAAATATCAAAAAAAATTTCTTTATAAAATTAAATTTAATAAAAAAAACCTAGGTTTATGAAAAGAAAAAGTAAAAATTATTTTACGAAAAAATATTTCATTAATACGTACTGATCATATCGAAGCATATCCATTTTCAGAATAAGTAGCTCGTAAATCAACTGAACCGTCTTGAATAGACCGATTTAAGACACTTTTATAATTGGTTCAAACGCTCCAACGAGAAGTTAGTAAGACGCACCAGTGTCTAAAATCGGTCATTCGTTGACACTTGAAGCGTCTAAACGAAAAATATTTCAGCCAATCAAAGTTAGACCAAAGTGTCTTGCATTGTCATTTGAAGTGTCTTAACTAGACATATTATAAGTCTTGATTTTTTAGAGTGCGTCAAAATATATGTAGATTATCTCAACCTTTTTAATAGAGCTATAATTACCTTATCTTATCATCTTCAGCCCGATGGGTCATCGACGATGATTCATCGAACCAATAGCAAATACACACATTGTACGGTACCACATGTCTAAGCACTTTTTCTTAGTTTATATCGTGAATTCTCGGGCCAAAGTAGATATAAAGAAACTGGGTAGGTCTTCATTTGTCATGTCTAAGCCCAAGTTTCAAGATTTCACTCACTAAAAGCAAAATACACCATAAAGAGGTCACTACAATCGTATCCTGGAGGACATTTTCTATAGTTACTTGCCACTTTTCAAAAATCCAAGAACGCAGTTCAATAGAAAATAATTTTCTCTATATACGAGTATTAAACTTATATCTAGTCACGTCCAAAGAAGCAAAGGACCAATCACAACGCATTTGTTATTTCTTCCCCTATATGTTCTTTGTTTCGGCGGGTTGAGAATACGTGCCAATATATACCAGTATATATATATATATATATATATATATATATTTATATATAGGCAAAACAAAGCATAAGTGAAGATAAACATGGCTAGTCAATTAAACGATTTACCCAATGAAATTCTCATGATCATTTTCAAAAATTTGAATCATTATGATGTACTTTATTCGTTCATAGGTCTTAATAAACGATTTGATACGATTATTAATGATACAATTGTTCAAAAAAAATTAACATTAATAAAATCGAATGATTCATCAGATCGATTTACTACTACAATATTTGATCGATTTTGTCGTGAAATTTTACCTAAAATTAATGATAAAATCAAATGGCTTAATATTGAATCATTAACTATGGAACGTATTCTTCATTCAACAAATTATCATAATTTAGATGCACTTGGTTTATATGATCTTGATTTAGAAACAGCGAATCAACTCTTTCGTGGTAAGATATTTTTAATGCGGTGCGAAGCACAGCATTTATTTGTATCGCGATGATCTCGAGGACGGATAAACAGAAAATTTTCGTTTCACATCATGATAGAACTTTGAGATCGAATTTGTGTCATGTCTTTTTTGATCTTCAATAGGAAGTCTCGTTCGACTACAGAAGTTGCCATAGAAAGATATTTTTTACGTGAACTTTGTGTCTTTCAATGTTTGAGATAATTAAAACGAAAACAACACAAAAAGTTAGGCACCATTCTCTCTATACAACAGATTTTCTGTATAACAGCTGCAAATAAATCTGTTGACAGATAATGCATCAGACAGATAATTCAAACAATAATCGACAGTGTTCATTAGAAGCAAGTTGATAAGTATTGATAGAGTTCTCATAGTGACGAATTTCGTTATGTCTGCACTTTGAATTTCTCCTCGATTTCGATCAGCTGATTGATTGAAACCTTACTTTTTCAACAATATCCACAGACAATAAATTTGATTTGATAAACTCGAAAGAACTTCTCAGCTGCCTGCTTCGTTCAAGTTTAATCCTTGAAACGAATATGCGTTTTTTATGAATTATCCATTTCTCAATAATCGATATTCTCGACTTCGCACCGTATTTCGTAGTCAGGTGAAACTCGAATATCATACAGTATATTAGAGAATTTAAATCATGATCAGTGAACAATTGATTTATTGATATAGAAAAGAGAATAGAATATTATACGTTAATAAAGAAAATAAAAATTCAAAAATAATTTAATAAAAATTTTCAATTTTTGTTTAGATGGAAGTTATTTAATTCGTCAATTTCAAAATCAAATTTTATCACTTGTTATTAAGGTAAAACCACGTGTACCACAAATATATTCATCAGAAGAATCTGAAGATAAGAAAAAGGAAGATTTGAAAATACTTCAATTTGTATTTACACAAAGCTGCATTATGTTCAAGAATTTACGATATTTAAATTTCAGTTCCATTGATGATTATCAACAATTAACATTTGATCTTACTACTTCAACTACATTCTCTTCGACTTTATTAGAATTACATGTCGCAGTGAATGCTATGGATGATTGTCATTATTTACTTGATGGTCATTTCAATCAACTTTCTAAGTTCTATGTTACCATTTGTGGTGTTCTTAATGATTCAGTTTTAGCAAAGAATAAAGTAGTAAGTTACTCATTAATATTCTTTTTTGAATGAATAAATAATACTTACGAATATTCATTAATTATCCTTTTGTTTTCTAGAAGAAACGTCTCAATCTAAAATGTTTTTCATTAACCTATAAATTCGAATTATGTGGCTACACCAGTGACGATCTTATTCCACTTTTACGTAGAATGCCAAATTTAGAAGAACTTAGTTTATATTTTGTCAGTACACGTGGACCAATTATTGATGGTGAGAATTTGGAAAAAAATATTATTAATCATATGACAAGATTAAATATATTTACATTTAATATTTGTTCAGCTATTCGTTGTAATAATCAAATTAATTTACCATCAAATGAACATATCCAAAATACATTGAAAAATTTTAAAAATAATCAAATTTTTTCATATGTTGATTATTTTTCAAAAGCACATGAATTTCATTGTCATATTTATTCATATCCATATACATGGAACTTTTTTAATAATATAACAAATAATTTTCCTGGAGGATTATTTAAATATGTTCGTGAAATATCATTACTTGATGAACGTCCATTTCAACATGAATTTTTTCTTCGAATTGCTCACTCATTTCCATTTATCAATAAATTAACTTTAAATAATCGTGAACCACAAGAAAATGATAATCAACAATGTTTAATCATAAAATATCATCATCTTACTATACTTGATCTTGTTAAAGCTCATGATAATTATGTTGAAGAATTTTTAAACAGTACTAAGACGTATTTATTAAATAATGTTCATCTTTATGTACGTTATGGTTCTTTACAAAAAGCAACAGACGATTTTACAAGAGATGTAACACAAGTTAATTCTTCCAAAATCAGTGATCTTACACTATACAATATACAAAACCTCGATGAAAAATTAAAAGACTATTTTCCTCGTGCACAAGTCTATTCATTGTGATATTTTATTTAAATGAAATTTGAAACAGGAAGAAAATAAAGTTTTATATTCCATAGAGAAAAGATATAATTCAAGTATTTGTCAAAAAATGATTATAAAGAATAAGATATGACTTATGTAAATAAGAAAAAAAAACATTCCTGGAAGAGAAAAGAAAAACCTTCTCTAGAATGAGAGTTGTTATTCAATTCGGCATTGATACAACAGATACTTTTCGATTAAATATTGCATGAATCAGCAAATCTATCGTCATGATCAAGTGTAGTATAATTTTCAATTGTAAATGATGAGCGTGATATAAAATTTTGAATTGTTTTGTAAAGATGTTCCACAAATTTTGTTTCTTTAGATTGTGCGTTGAATCGAAAACCAGCCCCTTTGGAAATTCGGGTGATTAAAAGAGATACAATAGAGCTGAATGTTGTCATTCTTTATACGAAGTATGAGAAAAATGGTTAAGTCAATTAATAGATATACAGGATGATTGATGCTCACATGGTTCCGAAGCAAAGAGAAAAGTATATTCTTTTTTTTTTCTTTCCTGTGTTACAGTATGGTAAGCCTTGAATTAACGTTGTATCGGGATTGATGGGATCATTTTGAGTGAATATGACCCAGTCTTCTCTATGAAATAAAAATTTTATGTTAAAAATTTCAGACATCACTTCCTCAGAGTCAAGAAGAAAAATAGAAAAAAAAAAGTAAAAAAGTCATTTTTTACATCCATGTGGCAACCATATCTCCGTCCAGGTACGCCATGGGTACGAACCATTTTAGGGTTTTCTTAGTCCCAGTGAGTCCTACTCATAGCTAAAATATGGAGTCAAACGGCGTCCGACAGTTGGATAGGTTTTCTCGTTAGATGTTGCGTTTCCGCAACTATTTTAGGAGTTTTGGTTCTCGGGATCATCGAGTCACAAAATGACAAATTTGATGCGTCCGTCTAGTGTAAAACAAAGAAAAAAAACTCGCGAAGGACTATATAAATGCTGTGCTTTGCACCGCATCAATGATCGGTTGTTTACACAAGTATATATTGACCTTCTCTGACTTTCCATAAAAGTCTCCGAACAGCCTTTCAGAAGCGTCTAAAACTATGCTTTTGGAAAGATGACCTATATAAGGGCCAAAGACTTTTGCACTCTACTATATATATACATATATATATATATATATATATATATACTAATAGAAGATTTTCATTTAAACGATTAGAACGTATTGCTTCACAGCTTTTAAAATAAAATGAAAAGTTTCACTATTTTCTGTATAGAAAAACAAAACTTTCTTTCTTCTTTTAATTCCTCATTACGTAAATACTGAATATGGATAATCATTTAATTTAACCTTTTCTTCATGAACTCTTTCATGGAATGTATCTCATACCAATTTTGCAGTTAATGCTGTAACCATCAATGGACAATATACGATAAACCATCAGTAACCTAACTCATAAAAACAACAAGAGAAACAGCCATTCGGCTGACTCCATCTAAAATGCACATGCACCAACAACAACATAAAGTCCAGTTGTAACACAATATTCATTGGATAACCACATTCACGTCTTAATAACGCTAGATATTGATTTTTTATAGAATTTGTTCTATTATAATACCAATAAGACGATCGCCGATAGCTCCTATTGATATATCAGAAGGAATTAAATCTGATGGAACTTTGTATCAATTGTCAAAATAACAAAAGTTATTAGTAGAATTAAAAAGCTCAATAACTGTCAAATAGCACGATGCTAACCAGGACCAGCTAAAGCAGCATACAATTTAGTTGTAGGCATTTCAATTGTTTTATCTGTTTCATAATCGCTACAAGAATAAAACTCATTTATTGATAATTTAATCTATGATCAGTTGATAAAGATAAAGGACTTTTCACGATTTTGTCTTGTTTAGTTCTAAGAAAAATTAAACAAATATGAACGATTAGCCTGGAGTCCATTTACAATTTTCTACATAGATATTTCAGTGTCTCAAAGTTTTGTAATACAGGGTGTCCGAAAATTATAGGACCCCTTTTATTTTTGAACTTTTTCAACAAAAGGAAATAGTTAGGTCATATATAAATTGTGATTTGGATAGCCCATGAAATTCTCTATCGAATACACTATGAACTAAAATTCTCAAAGGAATTTTTTTAAGAGAAGTTTTCAAAAAACGAGTTCACTGCAATTTCAACTAGTCGAAAAAATCTACAGAATTATTTTTAAATATAGCCATCTAAAAGAGAAAAAAGTTTTGAACAAAATGAGAGTAAGCCGAGTCTGCCACATTGTTCCGTTGCAAAGTTATAAGCACCGGAAAAACTTTAAAAAACTTATTTTTTAGCTAGTTTTTGATATTTTTTCGTTAATTGAGCCATTTTTCTTAA